GGCCGTAAGACCGGGCCGGAGGGCACGGAACAAGTCCCGCCCGGAACACCACACCACCCACCCCAACAACACCACCCACCCCAACACCACAAAAACGACGACGAAGAGCAAGGCCACTGAAAACACTCCGCGAGGGACCCAGAAACGACTAGGAATCACCAAATCAAACACCGTCGTGGGGCGGACGACACAACCTGGAGAAACAAACGCACCGGGAGATGCGCTGCGCAAGAGGCCTCTCACCGTGAGAGAGAGAAGTGGGAAGACACTCTCGACGTCGCGTGGCCAAGATGAGGTGCCCAAGGCGCCAGGGGCGGCACGACAACGCCAGGGTGATGACTACAATTACTATGACAACCCCAGCGAGGGTAAGTTTACATTTAAAAAGGATGTACTTATTTGGAGTAGGTTAAGGCTCTGAAATTAAGGCTTTAGAATAAGAAATTCATCTAATGTTATTCCCATGGCCTTCCTCTTGCTTGCTTGCTTGCTTGAGAGAGAGAGAGAGAGAGAGAGAGAGAGAGAGAGAGAGAGAGAGAGAGAGAGAGAGAGAGAGAGAGAGAGAGAGAGAGAGAGAGAGAGAGAGAGAGGGGGGGATGGGGGAAGTGGCACAATCAGAGAACACTGTCTGAACACCAGAGGTCCACGGCTGTTCAACACCCTCTCAGCAAGCATTAGAAATATTGCCGGAACGAACGATATATAATCAATATTTTAATATTTCTTTTCAGTGGCAGGAGATTCGAGCATTAGTGGCCAGGACGCGGACGCTGCGGTCGGCAGCACCTACGACGCCTACGAGGACGCCGGAGGTGACGCCGGAGGTGGCGCTGGCACACAGGGCCAAGACGAAGAGGCTGCAGGAGGGGACTACGTCGAGACGTACGATGGAGAAGCTCAAGGAGAGGGTGCAGCTGCTGGAGGAAGTGGAAGTGGAGCTGTAGGTGAAGCTGCAGGAGGAACAGGAGATGCAAGTGGACCTGGTGGTGGTGTAGGAAGTGGACCTGGTGGTGGTGTAGGAAGTGGACCTGGTGGTGGTGTAGGAAGTGGACCTGGCGGTGGTGGTGGTGTAGGAAGTGGACCTGGTGGTGGTGTAGGAAGTGGACCTGGTGGTGGTGTAGGAAGTGGACCTGGCGGTGGTGGTGTAGGAAGTGGACCTGGTGGTGGTGTAGGAAGTGGACCTGGTGGTGGTGGTGGTGTAGGAAGTGGACTTGGTGGTGGTGGTGGTGTAGGAAGTGGACCTGGTGGTGGTGGTGTAGGAAGTGGACCTGGTGGTGGTGGTGGTGTAGGAAGTGGACCTGGTGGTGGTGGTGGTGGAGGAAGTGGACCTGGTGGTGGTGTAGGAAGTGGACCTGGTGGTGGTGGTGGTGTAGGAAGTGGACTTGGTGGTGGTGGTGGTGTAGGAAGTGGACCTGGTGGTGGTGGTGTAGGAAGTGGACCTGGTGGTGGTGGAGGAAGTGGACCTGGTGGTGGTGGTGGTGTAGGAAGTGGACCTGGTGGTGGTGGTGTAGGAAGTGGACCTGGTGGTGGTGTAGGAAGTGGACCTGGTGGTGGTGGTGGTGTAGGAAGTGGACCTGGTGGTGGTGTAGGAAGTGGACCTGGTGGTGGTGGTGGTGTAGGAAGTGGACTTGGTGGTGGTGGTGGTGTAGGAAGTGGACCTGGTGGTGGTGGTGTAGGAAGTGGACCTGGTGGTGGTGGAGGAAGTGGACCTGGTGGTGGTGGTGGTGTAGGAAGTGGACTTGGTGGTGGTGTAGGAAGTGGACCTGGTGGTGGTGGAGGAAGTGGACCTGGTGGTGGTGGTGGTGGAGGAAGTGGACTTGGTGGTGGTGGTGGTGTAGGAAGTGGACCTGGTGGTGGTGGTGGTGTAGGAAGTGGACCTGGTGGTGGTGGTGGTGTAGGAAGTGGACCTGGTGGTGGTGGTGGTGGTGGTGTAGGAAGTGGACCTGGTGGTGGTGTAGGAAGTGGACCTGGTGGTGGTGGTGGTGTAGGAAGTGGACCTGGTGGTGGTGGTGGTGGAGGAAGTGGACCTGGTGGTGGTGGTGGTGGAGGAAGTGGACCTGGTGGTGGTGGTGGAGGAAGTGGACCTGGTGGTGGTGGTGGTGGAGGAAGTGGACTTGGTGGTGGTGGTGGTGTAGGAAGTGGACCTGGTGGTGGTGGTGGTGTAGGAAGTGGACCTGGTGGTGGTGGTGGTGTAGGAAGTGGACTTGGTGGTGGTGGTGGTGTAGGAAGTGGACCTGGTGGTGGTGTAGGAAGTGGACCTGGTGGTGGTGGTGGTGGAGGAAGTGGACCTGGTGGTGGTGGTGGTGTAGGAAGTGGACCTGGTGGTGGTGGTGGTGTAGGAAGTGGACTTGGTGGTGGTGGTGGTGTAGGAAGTGGACCTGGTGGTGGTGGTGGTGGTGGTGTAGGAAGTGGACCTGGTGGTGGTGGTGGTGGTGTAGGAAGTGGACCTGGTGGTGGTGTAGGAAGTGGACCTGGTGGTGGTGGTGGTGTAGGAAGTGGACCTGGTGGTGGTGGTGGTGTAGGAAGTGGACCTGGTGGTGGTGGTGGTGTAGGAAGTGGACCTGGTGGTGGTGTAGGAAGTGGACCTGGTGGTGGTGTAGGAAGTGGACCTGGTGGTGGTGGAGGAAGTGGACCTGGTGGTGGTGGTGGAGGAAGTGGACCTGGTGGTGGTGGTGGAGGAAGTGGACCTGGTGGTGGTGGTGGAGGAAGTGGACCTGGTGGTGATGGTGGAGGAAGTGGACCTGGTGGTGGTGGTGTAGGAAGTGGACCTGGTGGTGGTGGTGTAGGAAGTGGACCTGGTGGTGGTGGTGGTGTAGGAAGTGGACCTGGTGGAGGTGTAGGAAGTGGACCTGGCGGAGGAGGCGGAAGTGGACCTGGAGAAACAACGACTGAAGAATTCATCACGTTATTCATAGCAGGTATGTATGATGGGTCACTGAGTGGAGCAGTGAGAGAGAGAGAGAGAGAGAGAGAGAGAGAGAGAGAGAGAGAGAGAGAGAGAGAGAGAGAGAGAGAGAGAGAGAGAGAGAGAGAAATAAACTATATAAATGTATCACATTATCAAGACATTTTCACATATAGCACAATCAATATAAATAGTTTTAGGCACTGAAAATTGGACCCTTAATTCCATTTTCATCCTGAATAATTTACAAACGACTCGAGCCATATTAATATATTTAGCCTTTTACATGCTGATTTAACCATTGTTCTCAGATCCTATAGCTCCTCCTCCTCACCCAGAAACCCACAGTGGAGCAGCGACCACTGGAAACACGGAGTCCACGCCCAGAACCACATCTATCACCACGTCAACAAACCCGATGGTGAATACCGCAGCTTCTCTACTAACCCCGTCGACGACCACACTGGGTAGCTACGACTGGGTGTGGCGACCCAGTAGTCCTCCTCGTAAGACAACAACACCCGCACCAGCTCAGACTAGCGGTTTCGGGCAGGCCGGCAGCGGTTTTGGCCAGTTTGAAAATGCCAATGGGCAATCTAACAGTGGCTTTGGCCAGTTCGGTCAAACGAACAATGACTTTGGGAAGCCCGTTAATGGCTTCGGGCAGCCCGTCAATGGCTTCGGGCAGCCCGCTAATGGCTTCGGGCAGCCCGCTAATGGCTTCGGGCAGCCCGCTAATGGCTTCGGGCAGCCCGCCAATGGCTTCGGGCAGCCCGCCAATGGCTTCGGGCAGCCCGCCAATGGCTTCGGGCAACCCGTCAATGCCTTCGGGCAACCCGTCAATGCCTTCGGGCAACCCGTCAATGGCTTCGGGCAGCCCGCCAATGGCTTCGGACCATTCGGTAACTATGTGCCCAACTGGTTCCCCAGTCTTGGAACGTCTGCCACAACACCACCACCCTTGTTTCCATTCAACATTTTAGGATTGCCACATAAACTGCCGGTGAAGCTCCAGCCTATCTACCAGTGGATCACTAACCCCGCTCTCCTAACTTACGCTGCAAAAAAACTTTTATACGGACCGTGGAATCTGCACTCAGCATTTCAAAGTTTACTTCGCTCACTTCAAGAAGAACCTGGAACATCAGAGTCTGGAACAACGCGTTTCCAGGCCATCAGTCCCAGAAGCGCCAAACACAGCAAGCAAGAAATGAGCGAATCTAGAGGTACAGTACATACCTAGAATACAGAACAGTACAAAACACACACATCTCTCTCCCCCTGAGCGTAACGCGAATGGCATACGAATATAAATTTTGTCTTCGATTATATGACGAGAATGTATGGCAAGGAGCCTTGGAATTAGTACACACGAGTACCACTTGTCTGTGATCGTATTAAATCGTAGTTGCCACAGAAGTGTAAGACGAAGAACTGCACAAATACATATCGCCATATGTTCGTATAGTGACAGTCGGTACACACTTCTCACAATTCAGGGGCCAGATTCAAGAAGCAGTTACGCAAGCACTTACGAACCTGTACATCTTTCCTCAATCTTTAGCGGCTTTGTTTACAATTATTACATAGTTAATGAGCTCCGAAGCACCAGGAGGTTGTTTGTAACAATAACAACAGTTGAATGGCAAGTTTTCATGCTTGTAAACTGTTTAATAAATGCAATCAAAGTCCTCAAAGATTGAGAAAAGATGTACACGTTCGTAAGTGCTTGCGTAAGTGCTTCGTGAATCTGGCCCCAGGACGAAGTCTAACTTGACGAGTCTGTCCCAGTGGTTTACTAAGGTACAGTATACCGTAAACCATAAACAGGATTCCAGGGGCCAGATTCACGAAGCAGTTACGCAAGCACTTACGAATCGGTACATCTTTTCTCAACGATTAACAGCTTTGGTTTCATTTATTAAACAGTTTACAAGCATGAAAACTTGCCAATCAACTGTTGTTATTGTTATAAACAGCCTCCTGGTGCTTCGGAGCTCATTAACTGTTTAATAATTGTAAACAAAGCCGCCAAAGATTGAGAGAAGATGTACAGGTTCGTAAGTGCTTCGTGAATCTGGCCCCAGATACTTACCCTCGTGGTCCGTGGGTGATCTGGGCGTCCCCTCGTGGTCCGTGGGTGATCTGGGCGTCCCCTCGTGGTCCGTGGGTGATCTGGGCGTCCCCTCGTGGTCCGTGGGTGATCTGGGCGTCCCCTCGTGGCCCGTGGGTGATCTGGGCGTCCCCTCGTCGCCTTCCTGCAATGAGAAAACAAACATTTTAACACTTATTCTCATGTCAGGTGTAGTTTTGGTGTCCCATTGTCGGGGACAGAAACCTAGTTTGTGCTATCTAGGTTCCCCACAATTACTAACTTTTCCCAAGGATGCAAGCCACGACCCTGGAAACACAAACCGTAACTGTCTCTATTTTCCGCTTGTTACAACTTGTAATAAAATTGTTACATCTTGGCTTAACGTGTTTATGACGTATTAGAACGTTGTTACAACTGGCTATATTGGTTGTTATAACTGGTTAGGAGGTGTTAAAACTTGTTCGAACGTTGTACCAACGTCGTAGTTTCAGTGTGTGTTTGTTTGGCGGGAACAGTTTGTCTGAATTCTGAAAACTATTTTCTGGCCGGAAATCGAACACGGGATCATTCGATTGTCGGGGGGGGGGGGGGGAGGGAGACAACGCTGACCCATTGTATTACAGCGAAGTACCTACCTACCTTGAGGCTACCTTGAGGTGCTTCCGGGGCTTAGTGTCCCCGCGGCCCGGTCGTCGACCAGGCCTCCTGGTTGCTGGAAACGTACGTCTTGGAGACGTCAGGTTTACGTTTGTTTACTTTTATATTAATAATTTTTACTTCCCTTGCACTGAAGAGCCATCTTGCTTATCAATGAGATTCTTACAGGCCCTAGGGGCATGTGGCTGAGTGGACAGCGCTTGAGACTCGTAATCCTAAGGACCGGGGATAGATCCCCGGCGATAGAGGAAACAAATGGGCAAAGTGTCTTTCACCCTGATGCCCTTGTTACCTAGCAGTAACTAGGTACCTGGGAGGTAGACAGCTGTTACGGGCGGCTTTCTGTGTGTGTGTGTGTGTGTGTGTGTGTGTGTGAGTGTGTGTGTGTGTGAGTGTGTGTGTGTGAGTGTGTGTGTGTGTGCGTGTGCGTGTGCGTGTGCGTGTGTGTGTGTGTGTGTGTGTGTGTGTGTGTGTGTGTGTGTGTGTGAGTGTGTGTGTGTGTGTGTGCGTGTGCGTGTGTGTGCGTGTGTGTGTGTGTGTGTGTGTGCGTGTGTGTGTGTGTGTGTGTGTGTGTGTGTGTGTGTGTGTGTGTGTGTGTGTGTGTGTGTGTGTGTGTGTGTGTGTGTGTGTGTGTGTGTGTGTGTGTGTGTGTGTGTGTGTGTGTGTGTGTGTGTGTGTGTGTGTGTGTGTGTTGTATTATTCACTAGGTGAATAATACAACATTTTTATTTAACATTAAAGTAAATCCCGGAATTTCCTGATTTGTTTTTTCACATATGCGAAACCAAAATAAAAAAACCTCTACCAGTATTGGATCTTAACTTACAACTGAAGGATCGCACACGGAGAATGACAAAAGAGAGACCAAAGAGCCAAAGCTCAACCCCCGCAAGCACAATTAGGTGAGTAAAGAAATGTGTGAAATCCTAAAAGGCCACTATGTTTAGCTCCCCCCAATAAACAACATGAAAGTTGAAGATCCGGACAGCTGCTTTATGAATGACATCCTCCAGACAATACATCCGATATTAACACAAGCATGGAAGACTGAAAGAGAAATTGACCACATGAACACAGCCTGACTCGTGGAATTTAATAACATCTGCCAAATTATATTGAATATCTTGAGGTTATCTTGAGATGATTTCGGGGCTTTAGTGTCCCCGCGGCCCGGTCCTCGACCAGGCCTCCACCCCCAGGAAGCAGCCCGTGACAGCTGACTAACTCCCAGGTACCTATTTACTGCTAGGTAACAGGGGCATTCAGGGTGAAAGAAACTTTGCCCATTTGTTTCTGCCTCGTGCGGGAATCGAACCCGCGCCACAGAATTACGAGTCCTGCGCGCTATCCACCAGGCTACGAGGCCCCTTAATTCCAATATCACTGGAATGTTAATATCAAATATCAAGTAAATTTATAAGGAAATGTATTTTTGTTTAGGATTTTACTCATGTTTTTTTCGACCTCTGTGAATGAACCTTCATTTTTAAGTATAAGTTCAATACTGGCGGAAATTTTTAACATTTTGATGAGTATGTGGCATCTGAGATTGTAATGTCTCTTATTCTGTCTTCATCGTTTGTGAAGATCAGATCTAAAACATCTTCTGATTGGCCCAAAATCTGTCACAGAATCTAAGGTAATTCTCTGACCTGTCATTGATTAATGCTAGAGAAATTTTTTTGATATACCATTATTATTTGCTATTCGTCACCTTAAAACTGGGCAAGTTGAAATCTCCAAAGAATAAGCTCGTAATCCCACGCTTTAGAAAACAGCTTAACTACTCTTTTCAGCTGAACACATAATAGGTTTTTGGAGACAAAGCCTAAATACCTGGGCCCAGATTCACGAAGCAGTTACGCAAGTACTTACGAACGTATACATCTTTCCTCAATCTTTTATGATTTTGCTTACATTTATTAAACAGTTTACAAGCATGAAAACTTCCCAATCAACTCTTGTTATTGTTATAAACAGCTTCCTGGTGCTTCGGAGCTCATTAACTGTTTAATAATTGTAAACAAAGCCGCCAAAGATGGAGAAAAGATGTTCAGGTTCGTAAGTGTTTGCGTAATTTCTTCGTGAATCTGGCCCCTGAAGTCTTGACCTCAATAGCAAAAAACATTAACGAAATCCTTAGAAATTAACACGCGCTGAGGCTGATTAGACAATCTTAAGCACACCGAGACATATTTCAATTCGAGAATAAAGATTGGAATCGTAAGGCTTCAATATTTATACAGAGATTCATTCACTTTGTTGTGATTTAATTGTGCATTCAAATTCGACAAATTTCCCCATGTATACCACAACAAATGTAGTATATGTTGTATGTATGTATGATATACATATTGTATGACCTCTGGTGCCAATGTGGGGACCCATAGCCTCGGAGAAGAAAATAAAAAGTATTCAGAGGAGACCTTGTGGTTTCTCACTGAACACTAATATTATCTTCTCCTACCACCCACATTCTTTTGTATGTACACATATATATTTACTTTATTTGAACTTTATTACAAAAAAGGAGTTACATACGGGTTACAAAGATGGTTATCATAGGTTGTCGAGTTCCATATCTTCACATTACAACGCGCAGAACACTTACAAGTTTCACCGGTTTTGCTAATAAAAATATTAGTCTTTAATATGTTTTTGCTTTTACATTCGTTATTTTAATTCATTATTCTCCTAAGCAGTTTTCGCCTGATCCTTTGGTTCAGTCCGTGAGCCCATTATGTGCCTCTGTAACCCTTTCCACTACCGCCCATCAGATTGGTATGGGGTGCATAATAAAAGAACTAAACTAACTAAATTCTGGGGTGACACTGTTTTGCCCGAAACGCTGTGCGTATTAGTGGCTTTAGGCATATTAAACACTAGCATAGCATTAGGCAAAGTACGTGCTACCTGCCCCGCTCCTGTGCCAGGTAAGTTACGGGCTCACCATAGCCCGTGCTACTTGCCCCGCTCCTGTGCCAGGTAAGTTACGGGCTCACCATAGCCCGTGCTACTTGCCTCGCTCCTGTGGCAGGTAAGTTACGGGCTCACCATAGCCCGTGCTATTTGCCCTGCTCCTGTGCCGGGTAAGTTACGGGCTCACCATAGCCCGTGCTACTTGCCTCGCTCCTGTGCCGGGTAAGTTACGGGCTCACCATAGCCCGTGCTACTTGCCCCGCTCCTGTGCCAGGTAAGTTACGGGCTCACCATAACCCGTGCTACTTGCCCCGCTCCTGTGGCAGGTAAGTTACGGGCTCACCATAGCCCGTGCTACTTGCCCCGCTCCTTTGGCAGGTAAGTTACGGGCTCACCATAGCCCGTGCTACTTGCCCCGCTCCTGTGCCAGGTAAGTTACGGGCTCACCATAACCCGTGCTACTTGCCCCGCTCCTGTGCCAGGTAAGTTACGGGCTCACCATAGCCCGTGCTACTTGCCTCGCTCCTGTGCCGGGTAAGTTACGGGCTCACCATAGCCCGTGCTACTTGCCCCGCTCCTGTGCCAGGTAAGTTACGGGCTCACCATAACCCGTGCTACTTGCCCCGCTCCTGTGGCAGGTAAGTTACGGGCTCACCATAGCCCGTGCTACTTGCCCCGCTCCTTTGGCAGGTAAGTTACGGGCTCACCATAGCCCGTGCTACTTGCCCCGCTCCTGTGCCAGGTAAGTCCACTACGGGCTCACCATAGCCCGTGCTACTTGCCCCGCTCCTGTGCCAGGTAAGTTACGGGCTCACCATAGCCCGTGCTACTTGGAACTTGTTCCAAGTAGCTGAATCTATAACAACAATAGTTGCCGTAGAAGAGATGTAACCCCTTTTTTCCGGGAAGCCAATGAACTAATGACAAAAAATTCTTAAGGGTAACAAGTCCCACAACGCCGACTGAGCATCTCCAAAAGTTGTGTATAGATAGGGATCTCACAGGAGCCAATGATCCATCTCATTTACAACATTTTATTACAACTTCTAAAATGCCTTTATCAGGTCAGCAGATTTGACAAAATTGATAAAAAGATTTTGCTTAATCAAAAATAATTCATTCGGGTCTCATTGTCATGAAGTTGGTGTTCATATTCACTGCTACACAGTGAATGTGAACAATCAATCAAATATTATATATATTTTAAATAGTTTTCTATGCGGCGATCCAGTGTCAATTAAACAGCATTCGTCTCTGAAAATTTTGACTGTTGGAAATATGATTTTTAATCGACTGACAAGAATACGGAAGGGCTTTCCGTAAAATTAATTGTTAAGTATCAGTCTTTCAATACGCCACGACAAAATTATTGCCAATCGCGAATTCTACAAACCAATTATAAGTTTAAGGTATTTAACAGAGTTTACCCATTACCAAAAAAGGTTTTCTATAAAGCTTTCAGGATGCATTTAAGGCTATAGAAAACGGTACCAAAAGTGGATAGACTTAAAAATACAAGTCATGCCGCTCCTCACACTATATTAATTAAATTTAACGTTTATAGTTACAATGTAAACATAATTTACT